GTAAAAAACATTTAGCTAGTTTTCATGATTTCTCAGTTAATGGTTACAATGATATATGAAATAAAAGATTTTTTTTCATAGTTTTATGTTTTTAGATTAGACTTGCACCGGTAACAAAAATTTTTGAATTCGCCACTGAGGTCAAATATGGTGAAATCACCTAGGCACTGGAACTTAAGCACGTATCCCTAGACGCCCTACGCGGCCGTGGCATTTTATATTTGCTACTTGTAAATTGTAATACAACTGTTGACAACAAAAAAAATTGTAATACAACTTTATTTTGTATTCATAGCTACCATTAGAAACAATTATTTAACCCAATTTGTTTACTGATTTTTAGTTATAGCTGAACTCATATAGCTCAGCGAGTTATTGCCGGGCCATCCATCCTGTTTTCGACGCCATTTCTCACCATAGGATTGATCTATATCTGTTAGCGGGAAAGCTGGAGAAGTTTGAGCTTTTATGATTTGTGAACTAACAAGTCTTAGGCCGTGGTTCGCATAACAAGAAGTGGAAATAGATGATATTTTTGTTAAAAGTTAGGGGGTCGATTTGACTGGTGAATAACTGTAAACCATTGCTTACATCTTCTTAGAACTTTTTTTTTTCTTTAACTCTTTAAGTTTTGACACTCGTTTTCTACTCTTCTTTTTTCTGTTTCCATTATTTGTTCTTCCAAATTCACGTAGATGATTTCTAGATGACATTTAAGATATATTTTACTTGACATTTTGTTTCCTTTTCATTAGAACAATTAGCAAATACTTAAGCCAATTATTCTATTGATTTTTTATTATGACTTTCAACATTTTGCATTTTTTTATTATGATTTTCAACATTTTGCATTTATTTGACTCTTTAAGCATTATCCAAACGGTCTCCTTAATTAATCACAAGGAGAAAACCATAGTAAAAATGCAGGGTTGTTTCAGAGGGAGGGCAAGTAGTTCTACCGCACAAGACCCAGGAGAAATTTTAAAAAAATTCTTAAAAAAAAAGATCCCCAAATTTTTTAAACACTTTGAAGAAAAAAAGGGTCCCAAATTTGAAACCGCCTATAAAAATGTAAGACTATATTCTCCGAGCTTTGGTGGAATATGCAGAGGCTCTAGACTGCTGAGCGCGCGGCCGCGTTTTTTTAGATTTGCTACATGTAATATAAATTTACTATGAACTCATAGGCTCATAGCCATCACTAGAACAACGAAGAGATATTTGCCAATTATTCTATTGATTTTTTTATTATGGCTTTCGAGATTTTGGAGTATGAGATATGATAATTCTTGATATTATGATGTTACTTAAGAAATGCGTTACTGCATGTTGCGTTCCTGCAGCGCAAGTCCCTGCAGCTGCTGCTCGAGTCTCTCCTGTTCCTGCGCGAGTTCATGCTGCTGTTGCACGAGTTCCTGCTGCTGTTGCTGTCTTGCACGTTGCAGTGCCTGCTGTGTGAATTCCAGCGTGAGTGGCTGTCGTTGCTGTCCTGTGAATTCCCGTTGCCTTACGAATTCCCGCTCGAGTAGCTCATACTGCTGTTGTGCTGTGAGTTGCAGCAACCCTCTTGCTATATCCTCCTGCTGCTGGAGTAGCTGCCGGCGTTGCAAGACTACCTGCAACTGCCGCCTGAGTAACGCCCGCTCTTCGAGTAGCTGCTGCACAGTGAGTCCTCTCGGATTGTTGCCATCAGACCTGTTTTGGTTGCCATTCCTCTCCATAGGATTGGATTGTGTCTGTTCGAAGGAAAGATGAGTGAAAAAACTTGGGGTTTTTATGATTTGTGAAACTAACTTTTTGAAGCTTTTTAAAGAAGAAAAATGGTTGTGATTCGCATAAACAAAAGGTCGAAATATATTCTTTTTGTTTTTAAAGTTAGGGCATCGATTATAAACCATTCCTTACATCTTCTAGAACTTTTCTTTAAGCCTTCACATTCGTTTTCTACTCTTCTTTAACTTTTTCCATTATTTACATAGACACCTTTTCTTTTTCTATCGTCCCTAATAGCCAACCAAATTTTTTTATCATTTAGGAAACAAATTAATAAGAAGTTGATGATTGAGAACCAAAAAACCAAAAAAATATATATGTTTTCAATACACTGAAAACAAAATCCGAGCTCCTTAATATCCCAAATTCCCAACGGCAAATTATTAGTATAAGGTACAGAAATCTCTCTCCATTTCTCAATCTTCATGATGTTGTGGGATTGTCGAAATTGATTTATTTATCAGACCATTTTTTATTAGTTAGTTAATGCTAAATTAAAAAAATTAATATTTAACAACAAATTTATCTATTGATTAAATTATACGTTGTTGTTGGTGAATAAAACATTCGTTTCAAAAGCATTGGGTGAATTTATTTCTTCATTTTTAATGTGTCTAACTATTTTCATATTTGGTGCTATTACTGTATAATTTTGTTGACAATGCATTTTTACTATATGACTTTACATTTTACGAGGTTGTGGTCAGTATATAAGAACAGAACGAGAACTATCGGAATAAGACACGACTAGACTGGGAATTAAACCGAAACCGTTTAGAGTGGAGTGGCGTATCAATTGTATACCAGAACCTGGGAATAGGCATGCGACTGCGATGGCAACTAGTATAACCCAAGATCACTGGTACCAGTCTTATATCACACGAGAAGTCCCTTCCTGGCTTCAAGAGGCCACTGTCTCGGATGCAACTGTCGGTACATACCCTCTCCTCTAATTGGACACATCATTGAGCTCCAAGATTGGGTTTTATCTATTTGTTTCGGTTTAGAATTTCGGCTTATTTAACAGGCCATTGATGGGCATTGTGTCTCGGATACAGCTTCCCTTAATCTTTGTACTCACGAACCCCTCCCATATTTAATACAACTTAATTTCAGTGTTAACCAAAAAAAAAAAGATTGGGAATTAAAAGATGAACAAACCTAATCTTTTTACTTTCTCACTGAAGATTCGATATAAAATGTATGGAAAAAAAATGAAATTTTCCTTAGTAAAAATCAAAGACAAAAACGAGAAATCAACATTTATAGATATACAAAATTTAGAAAAGATTTCCATGAAATATGGAGAATTTGGGAAATACTTCATGTTTCCAAATAAGAATTGAAATCATGTCCCAAAACCCAAACATAACTTTTTTTACCACGTAAAGATAAGAATCATAACTAAATGAACACGAAAAGAGAATTTAGACCACTAATACATAATTAGACAGAGAGTAATACATGAAATAACACATGGGTTTTTTTTAAAGAAAATATTACTAGAAGATCTTTTAGATGCACTTACAAGTTTCACCTAAAACAACCTATTTAGCCTTAATTGTTCATGGATCCAAGAACCTCTCAAACAAACCCTTAACCCATTTGATCAGGATCTCTTACCAAACAACCCTAAACCCTTTTTTGCTAAGAACTCTTTGAATTACATGGGTTAGCGTCTACAAACGCATGTGACTCTCTATCTATACACAATAGGACGTCACTATGACGCCTAAACCTAGCCTTGGCCTCCAAGTTGAGATGACACTAAATCTTTAACAATATCACCTCTTTCCTTATTCTTAGGCAATACATAATAAAATCTTCATTGCTCTTTGATCCTCACCAAGATGCTTATCCAGCTCGGCTAAAACCCTTGACACGTCCATATTAGCTTGAATAGCATGTTCCAAGCCCATCTTTTCAAGCCCATGTGGTTTTAAGCTCAGTCCAGTCCGTTGTATCACTTTCTGTAGTACTTCTCGACTGGTACATGAGATGCTTCAACAACTGCATCTTCATGTTTCAGTAGCTTTACCATCTGATTTGCAACTCCTTAGTATCAGTTCATACTGAATTCTAAAACTCACCCAACATGCACTTTCAATCTCCCCCTTGTTGACTGACTGAGTTTTAGAATTCAAGCACTTCTTGATGAATTTCAAACACCCCCTTGATCGTATACTCACCTTCATGTTCATCAATCTTCATATTCTCCTCCTGGTTGAATGCTAGAACTTAGTAACACATTGTTCCTCAAAGGATTCTACGAAATTTGTTGACTCATTAACTGATGCAAATCGAACCATCTCCTTGAAATTCAGTTGCACTCCTCTAGTTGTCCTCTTATCATGAAGACTTCCTATCTCATTAGATAATGAATGGTTTAGAGGAACTTGCAATATCTTTTCTTGTTCTGAACCAGATTTCCCCCTTGAGACTTGTTGTATCTTTTCTTGATCTAAATAAGATTTCCCTTCTGAAGCATTATTTTTCTTAGAGACACTTGGTTTTTTTTGATCTGAGTCAGAGTCACTGTCTGAGTGTATTCCACCCCAACGACTGAAAGAAAAGTTC